TTTCCCCATTCTTCCCCAGACGTTGGGGACATCTTACGTGTTTGAGATCTCTTCTCGCTGGAACCAACAAGATACTTTCTGGGGTCGGCGATATACCACAAAAGTCAACAGGGACAGGGGTTCATAAGGTTCCCTAACGGATGCCTGTTTGTCGCTGACTTGGGGCGGCGACACGCGGGGTTGATCCTCGAGCGTGAGCTTACTTTTACCTGGAGACGTACGGATACAACAAAAAAATTTGTCTCTTACTTTACCAACGTGAATGTATGTACGGCAAAAAACGGGTTTGCCACGTTTCTGCAAAGGAAAAAAGTCTGTAGATGACAAGACACAAGAACTATGTGAGTTGCAAAACGCGGGGACAGGGGAAAGCTTCGTCGTATAGTTTGACAAAGGCTTATTACACAGTTAGAACTTGTATTCCGTAAGACCAGTCGGTAAGAAAAAACGAACGAGTTCAAGTTCGAGCCAAGGCCTTAGCTGCGGAAACTCTGTTCATTTGACGTCGAGCTTCTTTCCCTTTTCCGCGGGGTAGAATCCTCACACTGCCTGATGGACCACACTACAGAGCATGCTTCCAGGGATGTGGGCAGAAATTATTTTCCTGGTTGTCCTTGACCTAGACCGTTCGCGATGCCTGCAATGGTGAGCAGCTCGCATTTACAATAAAGCTCCGGAACGAAAAGGCTCAGCCGGGATAATGATGGACTTGTAGCGGCTCGGTCTAGGTCCAATAGCTATGCGCACTTCAATGCAAAAGCCGATGGGACATTACCCTTAACTCCTACATACATGTACGTCTGACCTCGTTCATGATCGAGGAAATGGCTGCGACGTCTTGGAGGCATGTAAGCCAGCATGGCATTACAGCATCAGAGAAGCCCCCCTGCCAAGATGCCGTTGCTTCCCCGCGCCACCGGCAATAGATCCAGACTTCCGCGGTGGCCGGCATCCGGGGTAAGGGAAGAAGATGGGATTATCGTCGCCAACAGCTTCTCGATGAGGAACATCAAGGGTGTTAGGTATGTCCTGTATTGGACAGAGTTTCCAGTAAAGAGGACTAGACTTGGACTCAACTCAACTCGGCCGGGGAAGGCGTTCCTGAGCTACACGGGACTTACAGGTCTGAACTAGGGCTAGCCAGGTACAACCGGCGGCGCGGATGACCGGACAGGTCGGGGGAAGCTATGGACAATTTTGTCTTCTTTTTACCTAATTCACTTCCTTTAGACGGTGAGGAGGACGGAAAGAGTCAAAGGGGTGTGTGTGTGTGTGTGTGTGTGTGTGTGTGTGTGTGTGTGTGTGTGTGTGTGTGTGGTGTATATGATTATCTGTGCTCTTCCTGGGTGCAGGGCATGGGCCATTTTCCCACGATCTTGCAACAGATGATGGGCGAGTGCGTGCGTGCGCTTTGCTTAACAAACCGGGGAACCGGGGAAGGGGTACCGGTGTTGTAGGTAAGGTATGCTGTTTGCAATGCCGGACGGAGGACGTGCTCTCGCGGGGCAGGGCGGCGGGGTGCGGTTGAAGACGGCTTGTTGGGTTGTTGAACCTTTGGATTATCCCTCTGCGCGGCTCTGTTCCCCAGAGATCCTCACAGGCTCACACATACTCTCTCTCTCTGTGTGTGTAAGTGTTTGGACTGGAGGGGCTGAAAGGGAAACGTCATGTTTACTTTCCCCCGCCTCCGCTGCCTCCTCCTACTCTCGGGGCGCGGAGAGTTGACCGAGCAGATGTGATGAAGTTGGGATCGTTTTGGGTTATGCGAGGGGTATGGTCTAGGACTTCATTAACAGGCTACGGAGCTTTTACCGGAGGACTTCCGATAAGGTGGAAGCTAGGCAACTGTTGGTATAGAGACGATGGAGGGGGTACGGATAGATTGTAGGTTTGATAGAGCTTGGACGGGGTGGGCATTCTTTCCTTGGGTTCATGATCGGGCGACGATGGAGGATCCGGAGGTTGGGCAGTGTGAAAAGCAAAGCAGAGCAAAAGATGTCATTTGCGTTAGGAATAGCTAGCGAGCCGACAAGTGACGGGACGTTTCCCGCGAGGACTTTGATCAGTCAGTCAGTGAGTACGGCCGGCCGGCCATGTCGTCTTTGGGATGGGGTGGTAGGTTGGTTGTTTCCACACACACCCGAGCCTCATCGAGGCTCGCTGGATAAAGCATTTACCAGATAGTGTGATAGCAAGCCCGGATGGTGAGATGGATGAGGCGAACGAGGCGAACGAGGCGTGTGCTGAGTCGGCTCGCTCTTCCTTTTCGGCGGCTCTGTTGCGGGTCCTTGATGGACGACGCTTATCTATGTCTTCCGCAAGCGAAGGGCGGCTCTGGCGGGCGCGTTGTCGAATTCGACGGCTCACATCTCCCTACGCGAAGTACAGGTAGATAGGTGCGTGATGTGGTGGTTGGTTTTCCCTCGAGAACGAGATGGCTGGCTATGGCTGAGGTTGCGACTTGCATGGCAGTCTCAAACTTCTCTAGGTATCATCCGTACGGGTACAGTAGGTACTACAGACAATCAGTATTCCCGGCCGAAAGAGAGGAGTCTTTCACTCTGCGACGGGCTTCGTCCGGGCCTCGATATCTCACTAAGCATGCCCAAGTAGCCCAGTAGCACCTAGTAGAGGCTCGTGAAAATGGCGCCTCCGCCTCCGGGTTCGTTATTTTGCCCCCCGTTTGCGGAGCATTTCCCACGACCGGAGTTTTTCACGGTGGTACGGCGGCCGAATTTCAAAGGGGGATCGCACGCATTGGAGGGGGGCGGGCCGCCCCCCGTTTTATTTTCGTGGCCCGTCGAAGCCGTCGACCAGTCAGCGGGCGGTCCTTTTGGCTGCTTTTTTTTCTCTTCGTCATTTTGTTGTTCCCGAGGGAAAAGGAGGGCCGAGACGGAGATCATAACGGAGATTCGCCGCGAACGTGCTGTGTATTCTTAGGACTGGTGAAGTTCTAGGCGCTAAGATAATTCACCCACGAGTACGCCCATTTGAGGGTGTACGAACTAGAGAATGTGAGACACACACACACACACACACACACACACACATACACACACGCAGAGAAACGGAGAGAAAGAGAGGATGCTAGGCTCGAGTTGATCAGATTCTAGTCTTGGTCTAGGAGGAGATCGTCGATCAGGGCGCTGAGGCGTTGAATTTCCGTTCGCTGCGTAGTTTTTGTTCGTTTTCCGTTCTTGTACCTTGCGCCGGCGCGTTGGCTTACACGCTGGGCTTGGTTTGGGGATGTGACCAGCTTCAGTTGTGGTTCTTCTATCCCCCGCTTCCATCCACTAATCACGGATAAAGAGACTTGGACTTCACTTGATAGACGCAGACGGAGGGGGTTCTTGGCCTTTACGTGATTGAGCCGCTGCCGCCCCAGAGAAACATGGAGGCAGAAGCGGAGTCTTTCTTTTCCCTGTGGGAAAGCAGAATTGAGTCCGAGGTAATCAGGAGATTTTTAGTGATCTCAAGGTGACTATCCGGGTTCTGAGCTACTGCTTCGAGTTCGGGTTGCCCAATTCGTTGGTTATGATTGTGATGTGATGTACCCTAAGAACTGATCAACAATACCTGCTGCAAGAGTCAGATCAGCGAAACCAACCAACTGTGCCAATGTGACAGGGCAATTCTTTCGGGGATTTTTACCACGTATCTCTCCATAGAGGTTCTCTCCGTAGAGGAAATACATACAGTTATTTTTTGTCGACTTGATCAATCGGTGCCAGGATTCAAGAGGCTCTGCAGATATAACCTCGTAGTTTATGTACATATACGCCCCTTCTTCATCGCAATTGAACTGAGTCGAACTACCAATCCACGATGTTGACGTTGCATTACGTTTTCCGATGTCAAGATGTGTAATTCAGTCGTTTACGCACATCATCATGCCCAACACCCAAAGTCCCGAAACTCGCCTCGCATGACGGCAGGACAAATGGTGGGGGAGGGTGTCTCTCCTGCGAAAAGCTGGCGCATACGGAGTTCCCTTCTCTAGGTACAGCTCTTAACTTGTGTAACCATGTCTATACGTTGGTCAATTGGGACCGTTCATATGGCTTCGGAATGTCACTCGTCCAAGTTATCTGGGCGGCATATGCGACGAATCGTGAAACGGCTCAGATCTGTACCTATGCTGTAATTGGGATCTTTGGAGGGGAGTATGCTGAAGCTCATACACATACACAGCCACAGATTTACACGCATATGTGCTTCGCTGGCGTTGCTGACGCCCCGGGGGATACTGCAACGTCGCGGTATGCGTTCTACGGGCGTACATCGTACAGCATGCACGCCATGCCTCGTGCCCATGCCCCATTTTCCCAGTCCTTTTTACAGATACTTGCACGCTCGCGAACGCTGTCTCTCTATTCCCTATCTCCTAGATTGTCCTCATGTCATGCATACGATGGGGTACCCACAGTACCTATGCAAACCGATATAGACATTGCGACGAGAAATTCTACGGTTGGATGAGAGTGCGATTATTGGAGCCCGTGGAGAGAGAACCTCTCAATGACGAGCGCGATAGGGAGTGGGTTTCCCCGAAGACAAGACTAGAATGACGTTTCTCACAACTCAACGGTAATCTTGGTTCGGGGAATAGGTAGCAATATCATTTTGGCTTCTGAGTAATATCTATCGCCCGAGCCAGAAATGGTTCCCTCCCTTCCCCTCCCGCCTTCTCCCCGAGAGGCTGACCAGGGCAAGGGGGACGTAGGGGGCCCCTAAGCGGCGCCGCGCCGCGGCAGGGCGCGGACCCGCTGCCGCTGCGACGGGATTTAGTAGATAGTGATAGATGCGTGAATGTGGATGCTCAATGTTGGGTGTGGTGTGTACGGAGAACATTGTTTATGGTGTTGGAAGGACTCGATGTATTGAGAGGTCGAAAGGATACTGGTTTACTCGTGGTACGCTGAACACACCACGAACAGCCCATTGAGACATATCCCCGGATTGTCGCAAATTTGACAAGAAGGAGACCCATAAGACATGCACACACGCATACAGCTTTGACAGGTCGCAGTAGGTGTTGAAAGGTGGTGGGATGGGACAACCACAGAGAGCCGGGCCTCCTCGCGTTCTAGGCCCTGCCGAGCCCTCCTCTGGGCGACACCCCGCTTCACCGGGGCAAAACCCCTCGTCATCATCTACATGTCATGGTGCAGCCGCCGCGGCGCCTGAAAGTACACCAGAGGAAGAGAGACGCGTTTCGTGTGAGTGTAGCTGTACCAAGCCATGGCTTGAAGAAGTAGAAGGAGAAGTAGAAGAAGCGGGGCGATACGGGGCCGGGGACGAACGGGATGCACGTCGAGCTTCGGCTGGGCGGGACTGGGGTGGTTGCGAAGATGGGGTCGCACGGCGTCGCGAGATGGAGGCTCGGTCTAGGTGAAGGGGCTGCCCCTTCGACGGTTCGACCACGCCGAACCCTTGGACTGGGCGGGCCTGGGCAGGCGGTATCACATGCTGGACGTTGTGGTGGTTTTGGCGTTCGACGACAACGACACCCACCACTACCTCCAGGGTTCATAGATGAAGGGGGATGGGACGCGCATATGCATAACTGGGATGGAAGCAAGTAGTCATGATTGCAGGTGTATCGGGGGGGCAGATATAGGAATGTGCGATTGGAGGTGGGTATTGGTTGGTATCGAAGCTGGAGTCGCCCAGACACGACGAGTCGAGACGAGGTGGACCTGCCTCCTCCTCATCCTCCTCCTCCGCCATCTCCTGTTGTTGTTTCTTTTCTCTTCACTTTGCAACCTCTTCAATCTCCGCATTTGATGAAGGTGTGGCCAGGTTCCCCGTCACGACACCGTCAGGTTGCCGTACGTTATCTCTGCCGGCCAGCCCCCTCTCCTGCACGACGGTCGATCAGGCAAGTCCTTCATCTAGGTACACCAGATATACGAAAGGCGCTGAAAAGCTCTTTCCTGGGAGCTTTGTCAGCCTTACACCGGCTGCAAGTTGGGCGAAGCGAGGCGGGGTTGGCCAAGGCCTGGAGGACGCGGTTGGAAATCGGTCACGGCCGTGGAGGATGGTGATGCTTCCCGTATGGCGTGAGTGACAGTGGTGTCGCCGGGTAAAGGTGTCACCGAGAGGTTGTCACCAAGCGGACATCGACACGTCCATCTCGGTGACAGTGCCATCGAACTATGCCTGCGGGGGCGGCGATTCTGAAAACCGAGCGGGCGAATCTCAGCTTTCCGTCGCAAAGGCGACCTCGGGAGGGATACGGAAGCTCGCGCAGAACATGCGCTTCTTCGGAGCCACGTCCCGCACGTTGTAGATAGTCATCTCCCCTTGCTTGTCCGCGTCCCCAAGCTTGAATCTGACGCCGATCTCGGCGTAGATGCGTTCGAGGATGTCATTCAGGGGTACCTCGTCGTCGCTCTTGAGGGCAAAGCAGTGGACGTGGACCATGGGCAGCTTCGCGCACGTGTGAGGTTCGAAGAGCTGCTCGTGTCCGCGGTAGATTCCCTTGTAGTGGTTGACAAAGGTGTAAGCCGAAGCTGGTAGGTTCATGACAAAGTGCGAGATTGTAGGAGGGATCGGGATGTGCTTCGGCTGAGGGGGCGGGTTTTGGGGCTTGCTTCTCGATTGCTTGGGCTTGAGGACAGCACCCTCTCCCTTCGTCGAAGCATCGTAGACTTGATGGACAGCCTCCTGGATGAACTTGCGGCCGTCCATGTTGTACGGGCGGACATACTGTTGGACCTTGTTCTTCTGGACCGCTGCGTTCAGGTATTTATAGCTTTCAGGGTTCATGTCGTTGGCGAAGACGAAGACGCCCTTCCTTCCTGCCGGCACGGCAAAAGGTCCGATTCCCGCCATGACATCGGCGACAACTTCTCCCGGCTTGAACATGCCGATGAGCCTTGTGTGTTCCGGTTCGAGCTTGCTGTTCCAATACACCTTGGAGTAGTCGAACTGGAAGACGCAGTCGTTCTCCTTGACCTCGACGTTCATGTCCTCGGGTCCGCAGAGGACCTCGTACGCAAATGTTCTGAACTCTGAGTTGCCGCCGACGTCATCCACCTTGTTGATAACGGTGGTGATCTTGGGGTTTTTGTCAAGGATGACCTCTGCGATGATCTTCTTGTAGGGGAGGTACTGTTCCTTGAGGTTGAGGTGGGCTGTGAGGGTCAGTGGCCGGCTTCACCGCGTGGCTCCGAGCAACATACCAACATGTCCAGCCGTATTGAATCCAACTGGGATCTCTACGTGAAGTTCCTTGGGCAAGATGGATGTCATCACGTCAACTTCGTCAGGGGTTAGCAAGTCCCATTTGCTGTTCGGGACAAATCACACTCACGGTAGCTCCAGTAGTCATAGTCGAGCTGCAGCTCGTAAGGAACCACATCCAACTCTCCAGTCTTAATACCCTCCTGGAAGACAGGACCCCATGTCGTCGGTGCTGGGTTCCGTGTTAGTCACAGGTTCAAGACATGTAGCAAGCATCGGCGGGGCACATACTATCAGCTTTCACGCCAGGTCGCAGCAAAAGACATTTCAAATTTGAAGACTTGGGATCAGTCCTGCACGAGTCCAAACGGTCGAGTCTGAGGAGCTCATTGCCCTTCTCCAGCTGCTTGCGGTACTTGGAGATGTTGCGGGGGTCCTTGACCGTAGCGGCAGCAAGTTCCAGCTTTTTGGAAAAGAGGGAACGGTCAAGAATTGTGGCCGCGCGGGCAAGAGGCGCACGGAGGCTAATCATATCGGAGTTTGAATTCTTCAGGATGATATTAGCACGATATTCAACTATCAAGGCTGATCGGCTGTGCAGGGGTCTCGACTTACCGCCATGTTGATGAGTCGATGGTTGGGCACAGTCATGGAGGGGCAAGGCTGAGGAAAAAACTCCGTCTAGGGCTGAGGGGCAGGGGTTCCCGGATGTGGCGTATCGACGAGGCTGAGGTTTTGCGGGTGAGAGAGTGGGGTTTGGCGCCACAGTGTGATGTCACTGGAGCTTCGCGATCTAAGCGTCATTGATGATTGGTCGACAGGCATCTCTCTGAGGAATGTAAGGGACAGATCAGTGTACTTCGCTTCAGCTTTCGTGATAGCCGTGGACCTTGTCCCTTATTAAGGTTCATATCCAGAGTTGTGTTCGGTTCAGAGTAAAATATCGGCTACTTCTGATTGGTTAGAGCTTTCAGTTCATGTGGCTACTGCTCAACGGTCCCCGGTTCACTCACGCTCGTCCTCAACTTACACGACACCTCTTACTATCCCGAAGCCTTTTATCAATCATGTCGAAGAAGCGGACCTTAGACTCCTTCTTCGCGCCATCTGTGAAAAAGCCACGCAAGGAAGATGAGCCAACTGAGACCGTATGTTCGGTTACAGCTCCAATGCATTTGGTAAACTCCCTACTAACAGGAATTCATCTTTATCAGATCGGCCAGTCCACTCACGCCAATTATCCCATACCCATCTCAGAGCTTCCCTCAAGAATCAGTAAAGAGCTCTCGTCACTTCCTGCCCGCCCAGGTAAAGATATGAATGATCAACTAGACCTCGATCTGGTATATTTTGAGCCGTACATTCCTTCGTACCTGGCCAAGGACCTCTTTGAGTTTCTGCGCTGCGAATTACCATTCTATCGAGTCGAGTACGATATCAAGAGGGGTGTCTTCCAAACTCATATTCGCACACCACGGTAAGCAGGCCGTTTATTCTTGGGCGCATCACACCGACTCACATGAACAGGTACACCACGGTATTTGGCTTGGACGACACATCCCGATTTGACGATGATGGTTCCGTCATAGACAAGAAATCCGGCTTCAAAGTTGTCGACAAGCTGTACCAGAGGTATCCGCCGCGGCCAATCCCCAAATGTCTCGATGACCTTCGTCGCTCGGCCGAGACAGCAACAGACTGCAAGTTCAACTTCTGTCTCGTCAACTACTACGCTTCAGGCACAGACAGCATCTCCTTCCACAGCGACGATGAGAGGTTTCTTGGTCCCGATCCAGCCATCGCCTCCTTCTCCCTCGGCGCGAGGAGGGACTTCCTCATGAAACACAAGCCGATACCTCCAGATGATGAGCATCAGGATAGACCGCAGCCCAAACAGATCAAGTTGCCCCTGGCCAGTGGCGATATGATTCTCATGCGCGGGCGTACTCAGTCGAACTGGCTTCACTCAATACCCAAACGAACAGGTAAGAACGCAGAAGACGGTGGGAGAATCAACATCACGTTCAGGCGAGCCATGGTGAAGGAAGGAACTGAAAATTACTACAACTATAACGTTGGAAGCGGACCTGTCTATCGGTGGGACAAAACGATGCGGGAAATGCGGGTATCTTCCGCCAAAGACCAGCTCAAGGGAACGTCATGACAACTCTCATGGGGTATACGCAACCTGAACACCTCTCTATTTGCCTTTGCGGAACTGTGCGCTGGAAAAGTTGACCAGCGCTCTCAAAAAGACTTGATATCCGACACCCTGATTGTCCGGCAAGCAGAAGATCTCAGTTAGACGGATGGGCCAGGGCGGGTAGCCATCGAGGTCGACATAAGGACTGAATGAAATGAGCAGATCGGGTTCCGGCATAATTCCCTCGGACAACTCTGCGTCGATCAGATCTGTGCTGATATCACGGGGGTGGAGCTTGCCCTTTTGAGACATCTCGGTCAAGGTGCGAGTAAGATCAACCATGGATTCCCGCCCGTCCTCGGCGGAGATGAAGAGGACTTTGAGATGTCTTGGGTCGTTGCGCGCGAAATCGCCGTGAGCTGGGGACTCAAGGACGTCGTCGGCGTGCGGCATGGCTACGGTCAAGGCTGGCTGGTGTCTACCGAAATAGGACCGCGACTTCTGGATGATGGATTGTTGGAGGTGAGGGAGGTAATGCTTCAGAAGACCTGGAGAGGGAAAGTCAGTGACGGGATAGAATACACGCGTGTAATCAGAAGCTTACCTGTCCGCTCGTACACCGTCAAGACGGGAATCTTGGCGCAGACGCACCACACGGCAATCTCGGCCGCTTCGGCGACCAATCTCTCCAACTCCGCTCCGTGTCTTCCACTCGGTTCGCGCTTCAGTATGACGCTGAGGTGTTTCGGCTTCTTCTTCAGACCAACTACGTCCCGCTCAATGTATTCCGGGGTACGGTGGTGGTAGAACATGATGGAGGATATGTGGTAGCACACGAGGTGCCATGCTTGTCGTATCCGAATGTACAGAGAGAAAATGGCGTGAAGAACTGTGTAAATCGCAAGGTGTAGTTTCGAGCGGAGGGTGCGTCTCAGGCCGAACCTGCCCTTGGGAGGAATATCATCGTCGCGCCATTGTCGTCGTGTGTCTTGAGGTGGGCCATCTGGGAGGTAGCTCTGGAGGGGCAAAGCTGTCAGCTAACGATCGAGCTTTGGGCGTGGGGATTACGAGTAGCTCAACGTACCTCGAGCAGTTGCTCCTTTTCTTCGTCCTTGAGGTCCACGACATCGTCGGTCCTGTAGACCTTGCGGACCCTCGTACTGGGCATGCTGTAAGTTGTTGGTGGTGTCTCTCGGCGCGATCAGTCGGGAAGCGCAGTCGTGGGCGTGAAGCTGCAAGGTGGGATGCTAGGAAATCTGTTGAGCAGAGGGAGGGAAAAGCCGATGTAAAAGTTGGCGCGAGAGTAGCTATGCGCTGAGTGGGATATA